CCCATGAGCATCCCCTGAGCATCCCCTGAGCATCCCCAGAGCATCCCCTGAGCATCCCCAGAGCATCCCCCAGAGCATCCCCTGAGCATCCCCCAGAGCATCCCCAGAGCATCCCCTGAGCATCCCCAGAGCATCCCCAGAGCATCCCCTGAGCATCCCCAGAGCATCCCCAGAGCATCCCCTCAGCATCCCCTCAGCATCCCCTGAACATCCCCCAGAGCATCCCCAGAGCATCCCCAGAGCATCCCCTGAGCATCCCCTGAACATCCCCCAGAACATCCCCCAGAGCATCCCCAGAGCATCCCCAGAGCATCCCCCAGAGCATCCCCCAGAGCATCCTCTGAGCATCCCCCAGAGCATCCCCAGAGCATCCCCCAAACATCCCCTGAGCATCCCCAGAGCATCCCCAGAGCATCCCCTGAACATCCCCCAGAGCATCCCCAGAGCATCCCCAGAGCATCCCCAGAGCATCCCCTGAACATCCCCAGAACATCCCCCAGAGCATCCCCAGAGCATCCCCTGAACATCCCCCAGAGCATCCCCTGAGCATCTCCTGAACATCCCCCAGAGCATCCTCTGAGCATCCCCAGAGCATCCTCTGAGCATCCCCTGAACATCCCCAGAGCATCCTCTGAGCATCCTCTGAGCATCCCCTGAACATCCCCCAGAGCATCCTCTGAGCATCCTCTGAGCATCCCATGAGCACCCCCCAAACATCTCCCAAACATCCCCCAGAGCATCCCCTGGGACATCACCCTGAGAATCCCCCAGAGCATCCCCACCCTGCCCCAGGGCCCTGGGACACCCTCTGAGGCCTGGCAATATTGTCACACTGTCCCTTGGGGGATGACAGGAGCCTCCTGCCCATTCTCAGAGCCTGGGGAAGGATTTTCCCTGGTGGAGAGGAGGGGAGCTCCCAGCAGAGCAGAGCACAGGAGGGTTTCAGCTGCTGCTGCATCCTCCAGTCCCGGCCCCACTCTCTGGCAAAGCCCCAAATTCATTTGGGAGCGCAGCAAATTCAATTTAAAATAATGATAATAACAACAAATATTAGTTTTTATAAGTGGAGGGAGGGAGTGTGTGTTGTGTCCAGGTAAAAAAGCCAAAAGATGTCCAAACCACACCAGGTGAGGCCTAAGGCAGGGAACTCCAAAACCCCAAAATTTGGGCAAAACCCTTCAACTGGCCAGATCTGGGGGTTGTTTCATACCTTGAACTCCAAAATCTGGGCAAAACCCTTCAATTGGCCAAATCTGGGGGTTGTTTCATACCTTGAAGTGCAGCCTGAGCCATCAGAGCCCCCTCAGCATCCTTTAACAACCCCTTGCTTAACACTGCCCACCACCCAGAAAGACAAAAACCAGAACAAAGGAAACCTTTTAATTGTAATTTACTTTATTATTTTGTAAATGTGAATTTTACAAAGCGTTTTACAATTAATGATCACATTGGGTTGGTTTTTTTTGTTTTTGTTTTTTTTTTTAAATTGATTTTTTTCATCATATGAAAACAGCTATGAGCACAGTTCCAGCTCGGGGGGGGGGGTCTTCATGTTTTCTCTCTGTCTTTTTTTTTTTTAGTTACTGATATATCGTGTCAGCCATGGCTACAAAATAACAGTCTGAACTATACAGAGTAAGAGCACATAAATACTAGTGAATAATGCATGGTAAAAAATAAAATAAAATAAAAATAAAAAAAAAAGAAGCTAGCATCGTTCGTGGCTGAGACAGTTGAGGAACATAATTCAGTGGTACTGTGAGATTTCCTTACAGCACAGAAAGTATTTTTAACAGTCATGAATTACAGTACTACTTAATACCCTATGAAGACGCTTTAAAAACAACCTTGTACTTGAAGTCCTTTTTTTTTCCCCAAACATTCTGTCCAAAGGATTAATGTTCTATTTGAATCAAGTGCCATCCAAATGTTCAAGTCAAAAATATTTATACATTTATACTCAGTTGTTTTTTTATTATTTATTAATTATTTCATTTACTTTTTTTTTTTCTTTATTCTTGTCTGCTAAAAATAGTATTGCAAGTTTTGGCTTTTTTTTATTTTATTTATTATAACGTTGACATAAAAATCACGATTTTTTAAATCTTTTTTTTATTTTTAATTTTTGTGTGTGTGCAAAACGCTTTTAAACAGTGGAAGAAACTGGAGGAGGAGGAGGAGTGGAGGGGTTTCCAATGTGAGCGTGTCCCACTCGCCCCCTCGCTCGCTCCCAGCACGGTTTGGCGAGCAGGAACACTTGGAACAGCAGTTGGGTCCCGGGATGGCCACGGGGGGCGGCGGGGACAGCTGGGGACACTCTGGGGACACTCCGGGCTCATCCCGGCTTCCCACGGCTCCTTCTCCACTCGCAGCGAGCGACTGCCAGCAAAACAGGGCTGGGGACAGGGCTGGGGACAGGGCTGGGGATGGGGACAGAGATGGGGACCGGGATGGGGAGAGGGATGGGGGGACAAAGATGGGGAAAGGGATGGGGGACAGGAATGGGGACAGGGATGGGGAGACTTGGGGGACAGGGATGGGGACAGGGATGGGGATAGCCCCGGGGGACAAGGATGGGGACAGGGATGGGGGGACAGGGCTGGGGACAGGGATGGGGGACAGGGACGGGGGACAAGGATGGGGACAGGGATAGGGGAAAGGGGACAGGGATAGGGGACAGCCCCGGAGAACAAGGCTGGGGGACAGCCTTAGGGACAGCCCTAGGGACAGCCCTGGAGGACAAGGCTGGGGCACAGCCCTAGGGACAGCCCCGGGGGACAGGGATGGGGACAAGGCTGGGGACAGGGATGGGGACAGCCCTGGGGACAGCTCGGAGGGCTCTGCTCCCCAAAGCCCGCGGGCAGTTCCAGTTTCGGGGCGCTGCGGGGCTCCAGCCCGCGGTTCCCAGCCCGATCCCCCGGAGCTCCCAGCCCCAGGAGCCGCTGCAGCTCCCGGGAAGGGCCGGCAATGTCCCCGTGTCACCGAGCGCCAGCGGGGGTGGCGGAGGGAGGGTCATGCAGCCCCTCGGCTGTGCGAAGCGGTGTTTAATTAATTAATTAATTAGCGCTAACGAGGAGGAGAGGAGCTGGTCCTACGCTACGGCAGCTGCGGGGAGCTCGGGCGGTGCTTTTACACTCTGCGCTCGTTAAAGGTGCTTGGTATAACTTTAGATATAGAATATACAGGTAATATTGCTAATAGTCAAGCATAAGAATAAAGGTGCAGACATACCATAAATACTGATGCTCTGATTTTACACTGTCAGACCTAGATGAATGCAGTTTCCTATTCACATTATAAAGCAGCCCCAAAATTCTAGAATTTAAAATAGTGTCGTAAACAAAGAGGAGGAAGGAGTCGGTTATGATCTGATCTTCTTAATCTGTTTTCCTTGGAAAAAAAATGATCAAAAAATTCTAAGGCACTCAGGAAAGCCGCATACAATCGATGGACTGCTCTGTTCTCACCTTACATTCAGTTTTAAGGGGTTATTTTTTTTTTGCTTTTTTTTCTGTTGTTTTTTTTTTTTTTCTCGGAAGAATACAATCATTACCATATAACATTTTCAAACATATCATTAATCCTCCACACACAGGAAACATTAGTGCAAAATGCTTGCCCTCATCTACCAGATAAGGAAAAACCCAACGCCCTTCACATTTTAGAAGTTTGCCTTCCTAATAATAATAATAATAATAATAATTAATAAAACAAACCCAAATCAGGAAAAAAAAAAAAAAAAAAAGGAAATGAAAGGAAAAAAAAAAAAAGAAAGGAAAAAACCCCAAAATATACAGGAAGTTGTGCTAGGTATAAAAATATATATTTTCACTGTGCAACTTGACTCTCTCCAGACTCTCTGTCCTAAGCCATTCAAGTACTTTGCTGCTGCCCCCCCGGTGGCCCCCCTGGCTGTGTGGGAACAGGTTTGGTCCAGAATTAATCCCTCCAGCCAAGTGCAGCCCCCAGCTGGGGGGCTCAGCCTGCTCCCCACCCCCAGCGAGTGCCAAAAAAGGAGGAGGAGGAGGAATCCTCTGCAATATCGTTTCTCTCTATATTTATATTTATATATATGCACACAGACACACACACAAGGGACAACTTTTGATCTCCGGCACCCGGAGCCGCTCCCAGCTCGCCTCAAGCTTTTGGCAAACCCAAAGGTTCGGGGATCAGGAGGGTCCTCAGCCAAACCTGAGCCCCACCAAGCTGGCTGAGCTGCCCTCCAGCAGCTGTCCCCAGGGCCAAGGAATTGCTGCATCCCCAGGGATGGCTGGGGACAAAGCCCCCGAGCTCAGCCCGTGGTCCCCGGGCTTGTTGAGTGACGTGGGTAAAGTGCAAATAGAGCCGTGCCCATTCCCACTTCTCCGAAGCATCCCACACCTCTGCACCTGCACCAGCCCCCAAAACCTGCTCTGGGGCGTCACAGTCCCCCCAAAAAGCTGTGCCAAAACCCAGCATGGGGCAGGACTTCCCCCATCACTGATTGGTTGTGTCGGGAGCAGCGGCACAGGCTGGGCAGCCTCGTTAATTACGATGCAAAAAAAACTGCTTCAAGTATCAAAGAAAACGAAACAAATGGCCAAAAGCTGGGTTATCCTCTCCCCACTCCCCCTTTCCCAATGGAAATACAAAGAAGGAAGAAAACCCTGAGCAAAGCGCTGTCTGGATTAGGGAATCGAAGCAGGAAAGAAAAGAGGAGCACAGCCACAGCAGCCTAGAAGTGACTCTTTGTGCACCTTGTTCCTCGTCCCCAACGTGTTAGAGAACAAGCTGCAAGTGTCATTAAAGCAGGTCGTTAAATCACAGTAAAAATAATCATCATTAAAAAAAGGAAAGGAAAAAAATAAGGAAAAAGCCAAACTTGGCTGTAATGTCCCTGTCCCCATCCCCTGGGGGCACCCCAGCAGTGCCATCCCCGTGGGACCCCCAGCACTGGGGGGAAGCTGCAGTGTCCCCTTGGACAGACCCTGCTCACTCTGGGGTTTTGAAAGGGGAGGGACAGAGCAGGTACCTGCTGCCATCGGGCTCCAGGGACACCCCCAAGTCCCATCCCGAGGCCACCAAAGCCACCACAGCCTGGGGACATCAGCCTGCAACAAGAAGAACAAAGACAAATAACTCCACATCGGGTTTTCCCCACAAGGGGCACGGGAGGGTGAGCAGGAGGCAAAGCGCTTCCTCCTCCCCAAAACCTCTTCACAGAAGGGCTCAAAGATCATTTTGTCTTTTAATTTTTGCATCCAATCCACTCCAAATTATTAAAAAGTGAGAGCATGGTTGGCCAGGGGAGGAGGGAGGGGCAGAGGGCGAGCTCTGCACGCACTGAGCTCTGCCTCCGGTGCGGATGCTGCCAGGAGCCAGCACCAAGAGACTCCGTGCCCTTTGGAGCAAGAACAACGTGCTCTCCATGCTCAGATCCCTCCCTAAATCCCTTCACAGGCTCAGGGGGGGCTCCTCCCCTCCCAGTGGGTGCCCCAGGACCTGGGGTGCAGAGGGGTGACAGATCCTGTCCCCCAGGAGTGGGGACGTGAAGGCGCCAACACGGAGAAGCAAAGGAAAAGGAGCGGCTGGGAGGGAGGAAGGGAGGAGGGAGAGAGAAACCAAACCCAAACCCAAACCCAAACCCAGCCACGTTGGGCAAAAACCAGACCACAACCACAACGGCAGCCAGGCTCTACACCTGCATCCCACACAGTCCTCCCGACACGCGCCAGCCTGAACTCCCACAGCGCCATCCCTGCTCCAGGGGGCTGAGGAGCCTCCCTGGGACAGCAGCACCCACGGCCAGGGCTCCCCGCCTGCCTCCAGAGGGGCCTGGCCACGATTTCACTGCCACGATTTCCCCCAGCCCGTCCCACTTGGCTCGAGCCCTTCCCAAGACAAACGCGGCCAGTCACAGCACCTGCACCCGAACACGCCTTGCTTTCCTGGTCAGTGACAAAACTCTCCTTCGAGGACAAGGTTAACGATGGCTTTACTTCTGAGCTGAGTGATGGATGGGGTGATGACGGGGTGGTGGTGGGTGGGGGGTGGCTAGCTTTTCTCCTCCCCTTCTTAAAACAAACAAACAAAAAAAGAAAAAAAAAAAACCAAAAAAAAAAGGAAAGGAAAGGAAAAAAAAAAAGAAAAAGCTACAATCTTATAGACTAACCTCAGGAATATCAAAAAAGGAGCCCAATATTTTTTTAAGTAGGTCGCCACAGACCTAGTCATTTACAGTATAACGAATGCGATTATTTCCTTCATAAATTTTAAATACAAGCAGAATAAAAATCACATTTTTTTCAGGCAACAGTAGCAGTTCAGTAGGTAAGTGGCTTGATCACATTTTTTTTTTGTTTGTTTCGTATTAGTAATGCATGCAAGCAGCTTTAGTATTACAGATCCCTTATAGGTGATGAAATGTTTGCTCTCTCTATAAAGTCCCTCCATAAGTACCATCCTGTCTCCTCACGGGGGTCTCGGGCCGGCTGGAGGAGCCCGAGCCCTGCTCGAAGGGTTGGGGGGTGCTTTGGGTTTCTGATGCCACGGCCTCGGTGGCAGCCGCCTCCTGGATGACGGAGCCGCCGCCCTCGGCGTCCTCGCCCTGCTCGAAGGACTGGCTGGACCCGTTGCTGAGCTCCACGTTCACCGTGCTAGTTCTCAGGGCTACGATAGTCCCCGCCTCGCTCCTCCTCTCTGCATAGATGCGCTGCTCGAAGGGCTGCGCCGCGCCGGGCTGGAAGTCGGGCTCCAGGGGGACAGTGTTTGTGGAGGAGCCCATGACGCTGCGGTACATCTCCATCCCCTCGGGCAGCATGGACTTGATCTTGGGCAGCCAGCGCTTGCGCACGCGCCGCGCGTTGGTGCACATGTCGGCCGCGATCACGTTCATCTCGCTCTCCTTAAAGCTCGGGGCAAAGTTCTGACAGTACACTGCAAAGACAGGGAGACACGGGGCTCAGCCTTCGGCGGGAGGGACACAGAGGGGAGCCTGGACAGAGCAGGGCTTCACCCACGGGGCTGAGCTCTCCACACTGACAGAGCTCCCCGGCTGGAGACAACCAGGAAGGTACGGACAAGAGGGGACAACCAGGAAGGTGTGAACAAGAAGGGACAACCAAGAAAGTATTAACACCCCAGAAGGGCCACTGTCGCAGACATAACTTATGAAGGTATGAACAAGAAGGGACAACCAGGAAGGTATGAACAAGGGACAACCAGGAAGGTATGAACAAGGGACAACCAGGAAGGTATGAACAAGAAGGGACAACCAGGAAAGTATGAACAAGAAGGGACAACCAGGAACAAGAAGGGACAACCAAGAAGGAACAACCAGGAAGGTATGAACAAAAAGGGACAACCAGGAAGCTATGAACACCCCAGAATGGCCCCTGTCGCAGATATGTTTTATGAAAAATCCTTTTGCTAGGATCTTTTCTCCTGAGAAGCTGAGAGGCCTCAGAAATGAAATGTGAACAATAATTATCTGCTGCTGTGCAATGCAACAGATGCATTTGTGATTGGTCTCATGGGGTTGTTTTTAATTAATGGCCAATCATAGTCCAGCTGGCTTGGACACTCTGGTCAGTCACAAGATATTATTCTCATTTGATTCCTTTCTATTCCTTCCTAGCCTTCTGATGAAATCCTTTCTTCTATTCTTTAGTATAGTTTTAATATATCATTTTAATATAATATATATCATAAAATAATAAATCAGCTTTCTGAAACACAGAGTCAAGATTCTCATCTCTTCCCCTACCAACACCACCACAGGCCCCTCACTGCATGGGGACCCCCACAGCATGTGGGGATGACCAAACCAGAGATGGACACACAAAAGATCCCGCAAACTCCCCGTTAATGGCTCCTAAACCCCCAGCACTGCAAATGTCAGAGCTGAGGGGCTGCCCCAGGGATTGTCCTCTGCCTGTCCCTCTCCTCACACCATCCCTGCGTGGCCCTGGCTGCTCCAGCATCCATCCCCGTGCTGGCACATGCCCTTGGAGCTGCAGCAGCCCTGCACTCCCTCGTGCCCTGCTCTCTGTGGGAGCCAAGCACCTGATGTTATGGGGCAGCATCCAAGGAACTGCCATGGTGAATAACTGTCAGCTAAAGCTCCTGCACAGGGAGAAATCCAGGCGGGAGGAACCCATCCCATACCCTGGCACACAGCAGCAATGCCCTTCCAGCCCCCCTCAGGAGGGACCAGGGCTGCAAAGTGCAGAGCTGGGACGCTCCAGGATAAAACTGCTAACAGGGAGCTGACTCCACCATGTTCAACCACTTTAGTGAACATCTGCCCTCTTCTCCCGTTCCCCCAGGTGCCACAGGTCTGCCAGGGCAGCTGGAAGGCCCCTGCACTTTACAATTAGGGAGGGGAAAGATTTCTCTTCCAAATCTTAAAAACTAAATGAGAAAAACTGTTTAAGAGTTTTGTTCTCCAGCACGGTAATATTTACACATAGATTTACTCCCCAGAATTCAGCCAGGCTGAGAGAACACAGTGATTTTCACTGCATATGAAGCCCATGGCAAACAGATCTTTCTGAACCCTTTGGGGTTTCCTCCAGCCCCTCCTGTCCCAAAACACTGCAGGTGACTGAGTGGGAAGTGGCTGATGGAGAGCAGATCCCACCCACATCTTCTCTGGGCAATCAAAAAACGATGCAAACTAAAAAATAAATTGATTTTCCTACAACCTACTTCCACCATTACCACACAACAGAGTGCCCTTCCCTGCCCAGGGCTGGGCCATGCTGTCCCACCCCAGCAGCAGAAAACCCCTCTCCTTACATTTGACTGCATTGAGGACCCTGCTGTCCAAGGGCTTCCTGCTGGGATCGCTCGTGGAGGACCTGATTCCAGTTCCACAGCTGTTGGCAAGAGTGTTCCTGTGGGGAGGCAAAGGATACAATAGAATATATATCATAAAATAATAAATCAGCTTTCTGACTCACTATTTATGAATATAAATATAAATGTAAATGTAAATATAAATGTCGATATAAATATAAATGTAAATATAAATATAAATATAAATACAAATATATGGAACATCCTGGGAGAGGGGACCAGGGCACAGCCACTCCCTGCCCTCCTCCCTGCAGGTGGGGCATCACCAGGATTTTCATGTGAGGAGTGGGAAATGTGCATGGAAACGGAATAAAGTCCTCAAGCACCACTAAGAAAATGCACAGAGCTGAGTGCAGAGGATGAGGCACTCCTGAGCCAGGGTTAAACCCCTGGAGGTGAAGGAACAGGGAAGGGATGCCCCGGCAGAGCACGAGGAGCAGCAGGACGGGACGGGACAGGACGTACCGATCGAAGAAGGTGGCCAGGAGACGTCTGAGCAGGACCTTGTGTTTGACACCAGCACATAAATGGCAATTCATCAGCTGCCCCCGGGTGATGTAAACACCTGAGCCTGCAAGGGGGAGAGGGAAATTCAGAATGAGCCCCTGACACAGCCACAGAGCCACCCCTGAGGCACCCACAGCTCCTCCTGGCTGCTGGGAGCCTCCTCTTCACCTGCTGCAACAAGGACAGAGGGGTTTCTGGAGAATCCTGACACATCCAGGCAATAACAACTCCTGATTTTATCTCTACAGACAGGAAGTCTATGGGAATCAAATGAAAGGATTCCTATTTTCTCACCAATGCACAGCGTGCAAGGCTTACACTGTGATTTGATGTGTACAGATCAGATTATTTATGTTTTCTGAAGCAAGAAAACTCCAATCCATTTGGCCTTTTCTTTTTTTTTTTTTTTTTTTTTTTTTTTTCCCCAGTGCAAGGCTGCAGAACACAGAGCTGGAAATGAAAGAAAAAAACCCATCTAGCACAGAAAGAGGTACTTGGTTACAGATCGAACTGCTTCCAAAACCCCAGCCCATCACCTCTTGGTACCTCTGGTGAGCAGGGAATTTTCCTTCTAATGCACGGCAACTGCTGCCTTTGAAGCTGCTGCCTTTAAGGATGTTTTCTGGAAGAAAAAGGAACCCTGTGCAAAGCAGCTGGACATGTCCAGAGGTCTGGCAGTACTTTAGAGCAGGTTTTATATCAAACCTTTTTACTCTGCTCACAGACCAACCTGCTCCTGCAGCAGCACTGCTTCCAGGGAGAGGTTATCCCATTTTTCAAGCATTCTCTTACATGAGAGGGTTTGGTATTTGCTTTTAATTAAGATTAAATAATGGGTCATAGCTGGATCCAGAACACACTCTGTTCTGGAGATATAAAACATCTGCTGGAGCAGCAACATCTCCTCCTGGATTTCCAGGGAAGAGGATTGTCCCTGACCCTGTGGATGGAGCTGGAGCTCAGGGCAGCCCCTGGGGTGACCCTCTGCACCTCCCCTGCCACCAGAGGCACCCCTGATCCTGCCCAGGACCCAGCATCCCTCTGCATCTCTGGCCATGCCACCCTCACCAGAAACCCTCTTTGTATTCTCTTCCATCTAATGAGGTTTTTCAGTCTTGTTTTGTTTTTTTTTTTTTGAGCAACAGCCTCAGCCCCTCCCTCAGATGTGCTGTGGTGACTGCAAGCCTTGTTAAACACCCTTTTCAGAGAGGGCTGCTCGAGTTTGCTGAATCAACTGTAGCATGAAAAACCAGAAACAAAAGGAAAACACTCCCACTTGGAGAGTTGAGGAAAACTTTCACAGCAGGATCAGGCCCCCCCTCCAGGTCTGAGACAGGAATTAGAGGAGTTTATTTTGTATTTTAAGAGATAAGGCATCAGAGCAAACACCAGCCATCACTGAGGGGAACTTCACTTTAATAAATGAAAAATAACCAGGCAGCCACTATCGGTTAGTGATATTAATCTGCTTTTTTCCAGATTGAAAAATGTAAATCAAGCAGAGTTGCCTCAAACCAATTTGCAGCTCTCACTGTGAAAATAACCTGCACCACTTGATGGTTTTAAGAAGTCTCACATTAAATGGAAATGGGTACAAAATGAATATTCCAGATCCAAAATAAATACTTGTGGTTGTACGCTGTGCTTTGCCTTCCATCAAAGTCCTGTCCTCCATCAGCTGCAAACCTTTGTGGGCATCCCCTGAAATCCAGCTCCTTGTCCACAATGGAAATGAAATCATGCTACTCACCAAGAGAGAAATGACTGCAAGGGAAGAAGAACTGATTTGGATGGACTGTGCTGCCACATGTCCCTTTTGGGGCTTTGCAGGGATTAATTAAACCTCCCCACCTGGGGCACGTCTGGGATGTCCTGCCCAGTCATCCCCACACAGCCACATCCAAGGGAAAAACCCACAGCCAGCCCACTGCAAAGTAAAGCTGGGAGGAACTTCTAAAAGCAGAATATTATTATTATGATTATTATCACTGGAATTCGACCTGGTCACTCCAGTTAAACACTTTCTGTGCAGTGCTGGGTGTGCCTGGGATGCCACAGCCACCTGGTTTCACTCCTCCAGCTCTACATTCTCTAAACAGAACTTCTTCCACCTCACACTGGCCAGAAATCTTTCCTAGAGAAGGAGTAAATTCTCCCAATATTGTAAATTCCCCCCAAAATGAAAACAAAGACAGAAGAAAGGATCAAACCCAATTCCTTCTCTTCCTTCTCCAGTGTTTGACCACTCAGTAAATTTATAAAGAAATTTTAAAGGATTTCAAAGCTTGTTCATTGACACAGATTTTATCTCCCTTGCTTTGTACATCTTATAATGTGGCAATTTTTGAGTGGGGGTTGTTGGGCTTTTAGATCTGTGATTCTAAATGAAAACACACTCACTGCAGCCACACCGAGCAGGAAGAACACAAGCTGCAGAATTCAATTAAAATGCTAAATTAATTCAATTGAATAAATCCTGTTAATGACACATTTTTCTGTCAGCAAATTAGAGGAAACTTGGAACTTTCCAAAAAACGCTTGGTGACGAATAATCCAGAAAGACACAGCAAGGGCACACGAGATGGAGAGCACAGCTCCAGAAGGGGAACAGCAGCAACCCAGAGGTATTCCAAGGAAATTCCAAGGTACTCCAAGGAAAACCTACCTGCTACAAGCTCGAGTTTCTCTCCAGGGTCTCCCTCGGAGTAGAGCTTGGGGTGGCAGCGGTAGCCGATCTGGCTGATGAGGCTGGCAGGGAGCGCCACCAGGTCCCGCCGGATCAGCACACACGAGCGGTTCTCCAGGGGGATCTGCTCTGTCTTCTCCTGGGCCACTGCAAAATGGAAGGGGAAAATCGTTAAAATAACCTGTCATGATGCTACAGGAGGTCAGGCTTTGATTTCTTCATGCAGCAATTGGAAATATTCCCCCCACGGGGCAGGTGCCACCTGGAAACGGGGGAAAATCCCCTGGTCTCCCCCTCCACGGCAGCCTCAGCTTCTGCAAAAGGGATCCTCAGAATCTAATTATGCTTTAACATCTCCTGAGTTAGTAATTTGTGAAAATGGACAGCTCTGCTCAGCTGACATCACTCTGCACACGGAGCTGCTGCCCCACACATGCCAGGAGGGTGGCAGGAATTTCACCAGGGGTTCTAAACAGTGAATTGATGAACACCTGCAGCAGTTCCATCATTACTTCCCTTGATGGTTTTTCATGCTGAAGTAAAAATCCAGACCCTGCAGACACCTCTGCTCTGAGAAAGGTCAGGAGAACCTCTCTGGGCACCCACCAGCCACCTCCAGCCCTCCTTCTGTTCCTCTGCCTCTGCAGGCCAGCTTTTCCTCTCAGTAACAAAAGAAACCCCCATCAACAAGGCAAAAAATGTCATTAAGATGTACCTTGAAAACCAAAATACCAGATTTTCCCAACCTGCTCTGATGCACCATCTCCAGAGCCCACCAGTGCCCAGGAGCAACCACTAACATGGAAAAGCTGAAATTCTGGGTTGTCCTCCCAGCACCTCCAAACCTGGGCACTGTGGGCACACAGAGGATTGGTTTTTAAAGCACATTTACAGTCCAAGACCACCAGATTGCTTGAAATGACAATTTTTGATAGCAACGAGGGCAGACCATGCACATCAACCTCAGAACACGGTAGGAACAGCTCCAGGGCTGAACTGCAGCCCAGCTCTGCCACGATCCACCTTTTCCCCCCAAAACAGTTTGATAACGTGACAAGTGCCACGTACAAACCCAAACCCAGCTCTGTGCCCGAAAGCTGTGCACACTGACAGAGCAGAAACCCCAGCAAGGAGCATTTCTGAACTCAAAACCTGCTCCAGAGGTGTCTTTCCCTGCGATTATCCCCGAGTTCTGGGTTCACTTTTCCTCCCTGCAGATAAAATAACAAGTTTTGCAGCGCTGTTGCTCAGTAACCCAGGGTGATGGCTCGGGGACAAAGGGAGCAGTGTTCTGTTCTAAGTAGGACATGGCCACGGTGCCCTGCTGGGCTGGGGCATCCCATGGAGGCTCTGGGGCATCCCCACCCTCAGGACATGGCTTGGATGGCTCCCTCTGGCCCTGAGGAATGGCAGGAGGATGGTCCCTGCTCAGGGATATACAACCCAACAGCAGCAGAACGACTCACAGGGTGGTTTTAAACTCTTTGTGCCATCACAGCCCCACCACCAGTGGGAAATCTGTGCATTGGCACTCCCAGCTGCAATATCCCCAGCATTCCCAGACCCTGCTGGAGATGGGGCTCAGCTCCCACTGAGGGAGAATCTCAAAGACCAGCTCTATTTTGAGGCTTTTAGAGTGATAAGCAAACCATATCCCATTAAATACTGATATTTTCAGCTTAAATAAACCAAAAACAAAGGGACAGTGGGTATGGAGGAGCCAGTCCTGCTCTGCTGTCCTTCCCTGGCAAGGCAGGGCCACCAGGGCAGGAAGGGACACCTCAGTCATCTCCCAGAGGTAAAATTTTACTCAGAGGTAAAATTAAATACACAACCCCTAGGAGCTGAATATGTGACCTACACAATCCCACCTCAGCAGAGGGCTCTGCCCAGGTTATTAAAAATTATTAAAAATATTAAAACTTACTAAAAATTATTAAAAATTGAATTTTTAATACTTCATTTTTACTTTAACCAATGGCTCAGGCCGAAAGCACCCACAATATCCAACAGCACCATACTTCAAAAACCAAACTAAAATTCAGCTAAAAAGACCAAGCACAACTCAACCCACTGCTGGATTTTGGTTACACCTGTCCTGCTGGCTCACTGTCCATAAATCTCTTATAAAACACAGCCATGAATCATTTTGGGGGGCTTTGCTTCCATTCAAGCATTAGCAGAAAATCAAGGATACCAAACAAAAAGAGGTTTGGGGCTTTCAGTGGCACCTCAGTTGAGCAGATAGCAATCAGTTATGTAAAGGAGCAGGACACAAGAGACACTCTGGTGCCATGTTTCCACAGAAAGCCACTCTGTTTGGCCTTTCTGCTCCAGAGAACAGGAGAGTATTTGCTTCTAATTAATTTGTATCTTCAGAGGGCAGCAGCTCCTTCCCTTTGAATGAAAGGGCAAACAATGGGAAGTATTGTTAAATACAGTTTTGTTCCTGAACAAGAAAGGAGCTCCCAGCCAGCAGAGAGGGGCAGGAAATCATTACAGAGGAAGCCACCAGAGCTGCCAGCCAAACACTGGAATATTTGATTTATTTGGATGTATGCTTTTATCCCAAACTTAGCTGGAGGTTGCAGCTGCAACAGGTGGTGCAGAATGGGAAAAATCCATTTTCCTGGATTTTTCTAGCTGAAGAAACAGCCTCAGTCTAACTCTGGTCCATGCTCCGTGGCTCCAGGCTGTGCATGATGCTGGGGCATGTGTCCTCCTTATCCCTAAAACACATTCCAGAGATCCCTCACAGCCCTTTAGTGCTGAGCCCACCACGGTTGGGTGACATTGGGATTTCTGCATGTCCCACCTGAGCTTTACTGGGCATGGGCTGCTCAGGTGAGTGCCTGGGGATTGCTGGATACACACCTGGCCCCAGCACTCACTCATCTCCTTACTTCTGACAATCCTAACAGCAGAGCTGCAAAATGAGTCATGAAGCCCCAATTCCCACCAGCTTGGGTTCTCCAAACTGCACAGAAACATCAAGGTGCTCCTGTGAGTAAGAAACAACTGCTGCTGGTTTAGGAATGGGATTGGGAGATACAGAAAGATCAGAGTGATGGAGCCTCACCCAAAAACTGATCTTTACAGAGTCCCAACATGTAACCACACATCTCAAACCCTGAATAAAAGGCTGGAGAACCCATCTCCACCTGCTCCATGATGGATGATCCTTTCTGTACACAGCAAAAAGTCTCTTTTCAAACAGCAATGTTTTAACATTTCTCCCCCATCAGCCTATTTTCCACTGGCAGTGGGACCACCTCAGAAATATCTTCCCTCCACAGCGTCAGCATCCCCAGCATCTGCTGCAGATGTAAACCTGGAGCAGAGGACACACGCAAGCACCCTGGGACAGATCCATCACAGAGTCCCAACGGGGAGAGTTTACATTTCCCAAATAGTACATTTATACCAACGTACTGAAATGTAGCCTTTGATTTGTGACCTATTTATACAGGGAGGTAATCTGGAATTAGTATAGGAAAAATATTACTGGTTTATAAATACCCCTATCTTGCCTTCGCCTCAGATCTCAGCCAGGAGTGAAACATCTGCCAGCCTAAAATTAAACATCTGTGGTTCAGAGGGAGGAAAATGGGGCTGGAAGTTTAATGCCAAAAAAGGCCAGAGGCTGAGTGCCCCCAGCCTGGGGCTCAGCTCTGACAGTGCCAGGGTCAGGATGGGGCAGTGCCACCACAGAGCCCTCAGCCTGGAAAACACCTCCAAAACCATCAAGTGCAACCTGTGCCCAGTCTTGCCACATGAAGACACACAGCCAGGCTCTCAGCACTTTGCAGGTGTTTGAATCCCTCTGCAAAAGCCAAAGTGCTCTGGTGGATACTGACACAGCCCTCGACCGCTTCATTCCCTAAAAATCCACGAGCTGTTTGCTGCTGAGCATCCTCCTGTGCACAGGCTGGTCCCTCGGGAGCAGGGGGAGCTGGCAGGAGCAGGGGCTGTCCCTGCAGCGGCAGCCAGCTGCTCCATCCCGCTGCAATTCCTGCCGTGATTTGTGATTTACGCGGCCGCAGCGCGGGATGCTGCACGGGCTGCACCATTTGGGATTCTGGGCTGTTCCCTGCCCTCTTTCCTTACTGTCAGGAATCAGAGGCCAGGAGAGAAAACTATTCTCTCAGCTAATTACCACAACTATTCTATAATGGCTATTTTAGATGAATTTTTAATGAAGTGTGCTCTTGTCAGTTCAGGATTTCATAACTTTCAAGTCCAGCCTTTACATTCCAGCCGTTTGCTGCATCAAGATTTTCCCTTTTCCCTGCAAACCGGTGCAGCAGGAGCAGGGGAGGAGGACGGACCCTTGCACAACTTCGCTGGTGCCTGTCAAAATTAAATTAACTGCATCTGCTCAGCAGAGAGCTGACTGACAAGAACGTGGCTCAGTGCAGAAAAGCGCCGAGCATCTGCAAGTCCTGCTGAAACCCACTTCAGCTCGGGCCCACGACGCTGTAATTAACAGGGATAAAAATACTTTGCTTTTGTTTAATATTTTCTGGAGTTGCGCGCTCCTCAGATCAGATGCTGGAAACCTCATTAAGTCTCGCTCGTGTCCTCGAGGCCCACATGTTCTCCACACCCAGACCTAGTTCTGGAGCAAGGAGCCATTTTACCGCAGTGCTCCCAGCCCGGCACGGCAAATGTGGCCACCAAACCTGGGGGGAAACTGAGGCAGCTTTTCCAACCCCCTCTGCCAGCTGCCACCCTGCCTGCCAACACCTCCTGTGTTTAATCCTGGCCTCATCCTGCTGCTCCTTCTGCAGGTCCAACACTTGTCCTGGTCCCTCACAGCAGTGACACTGCTGCAGGTGGCACCAGCCCCTTCTCCCAAGAGGAAACAACCTCAAACTGTGCCAGAAAAGGTTCAGATTGGACAAAAGGAGGAATTTCTTCATGGAAAAGGTTCAGGCATGGGAAGGGGCTGCCCAGGGAGGTTTTGGAGTGCCCACCCCTGGACGTGCCCAAGGATGTGGCACTCAGTGCTCTTGGTGGTGTTTGGTCCAAGTTTGATCTTGGAGACCTTTTCCAACCTTAATGATTTGGAGATGTGGATCTGATCCAGCTTTGGAGATTCAGAATGGCTCTGACTAAAAAAAGGGGTGAAGAAAATAAATTAAAAACCCCCAGCTCTGGGGCAAGAAGAGGATTGGTGACCCCTCCAAGGGTGGTGGGTGATGCTGAAGGCAAGTGAAGAGCTCAGCCACTAGGGTCCCACCACACCCTCAGCAGCTTCAGATGGGGAACAAAAATGCATAGAAAAAGAAGGAAAAAAATTCCAGCAACCCTCTCTGAAATTCAGAGCTTCGTCTGCTCCGCTCCTCTTTGGCTTTGTTTTTGTTTTCACAAACAGGGCTCTTGGAAACCTTGGCAATGCCTGGTTTAAAGGGCTCCCCCCTCCCCCAGGGCTTTGTGAGGCTGTGGGATCTCCATGCCAGGAGCAGGATTAGCTGCCTTCTCTCTTCCATCTCACAGTTTCATTATTCTGCACCTTTTGAGAGGGTACAGTTTATCCTGAGTAATTAAAACACAGTTAGCTCTACAAGTCCCGACCATAATGGAAAAGCTTAGGTTTTACTTTTTGTAATCTCTTTTTTGCATGCCCTCTTTTCCAGGAAGCCTGATACCTATAGCTGCCTTATTTCAAACAGGAAACTCCCCCGAAAGGTGCGGGTGGGGAAGAGGAATTCCAGCAGAAATGTGGGATATTTAGAGCCTTACAACCTGCCTCCTCCCTGCATGGCCTCAGCATCACCACCTGCTTCTCCCTACAGAAAGCAAGCAGGAAAACTTGGCTGTGGGATGCCCAGCCCTGGCACAAGGGCTGCAGCATCTCCAGTGACACCTGAGAAAGCTGCTCAGATTTTCACTTTTCCAGCTGGGATGATTCCTGCCCAACATGGATCAGGGGCAGCCTCGGAGCTGCTGCTGCACCATCCCCAGGCTGGTGCTGTCCTTGCCTTCTGAGCTGGTTTTGTTCTGTTCCTGCAGGAACTGGCCCCGTGACAGGGATGGAAAACACACTCCAAGGGCATGATCCCACTGCTCTGAGGAACAACTGAAGGCAAACCCACATTGCTCAGCACAGGTCCTACAGGGAAAAGCAAAACAAACCCAAAACAAGTGGGCAACAGCACAATTCCTGTTCAGTCTGGCTCCAACAGCAGCCATGGAGGAGACCCTGACCTTGTCCCACCCCTGATCCCACTCCTCTCCTGCCCCATCCCAACCACTGAAGCAGGACAGGGAGAGGCTAATTTCCTACAACTGCTTGTCCACTTCTCCTAACAAATATTTTTAATATTAAAATAGTAAATTCACTGTTTTCCCCCTTTAGTGAAAAAACACCTTGGAAAATTCTGCTTATCTGCTCATTGTCTGGCAGGGAACATGGCAAGAGGATGCTGAGCTCCTGGGATGGGATGGGAAGGGATGGGATGGGATGGGACAGTGTGTGGGGGTGAGCCCACTCTCAGTACTAAGGAAGCCTACCTGTTCTATGTAACAAAAATTGTCCTGTTTGCCAAATCTTGTTCCTTGGTGAAGACTAAAATCAAATGGCTTTGAGGAAAAGCTCACCAATGAACCAGAGTTAAAATATTTGCAGCATCAATGCAGCAATTCCAGAGCAGGGGAAGCAGCTCCAGGGGAGGGGATGCTGCGTGCAGCCAGAGCCCAGTGGGAAGATGTCCCTCCCTGGGGAGCTCCTGAGGATCAAAGCTGCTGCCACAAACACCTGCAGCTCCCACGAGGAGGCCTCTGTGAGGCTGAGCTTCCATGGGGGACACTGCCAGCTCCATCTGTGTGGGTGCTGGGAGCTGCTTCCACAGGGGATGCTCACAGGACAGCACCCAGGGGCATCTCCTCCTGGAACTGAGCCCCTGGACCTGCAGCCCCCTGTCCTGGCTCCTCAGGAGGGTCTGAGCCCTGCCAGGTGCCAGGAAAACAGGCTGTGTGCCCAAGGAAGTGGGAGGGAAAGGAGCTCTCGTGTCCCTGTGCCCACTCTGGGGCTGAGCAGCAGCTCCCAGCCAAGCAGCACCAAAGTGAAGCTGCCCGCTCTGTCTGAGGCCCGTCGAGGGATTCACACTCAGCCTTTAATCCCAAATTCTGGAAGGACAGCAGGGTTTTACTTAGTTCTAGGCACTAATGGGGAAATAAAAGAACATGAAGCCCCAAAAATGCTTTTTCATTTCTAACAGTGATGTGTGGGACAAGGAGAGAGGGGCACTACAGGCAGCGAGGAGAAAAGTCCATCTTTCCTTCCTGTTGCAGATATTCCTAGTTAACTTCAACAAAAATTATTTCGTTTATATTCTCCCTTCCTCCAAATATCCCGTGCTCATCACTTTTTTGGAAACTCTTATTCTAAAAAGCCAGGACGGAAGACAGCTCCCAGAGTGACCACCTGGCCCTGGGCCAAGAGGATGACCCACAGCAGGTTTGCTCAGCCATCACCTCAGGATGGATGCCACCACCACAGGGCTCATGCAGCCACCAGGCTCCTCAGTGGCAGCCTCAGCCAAAAAGCAAAAGCTGAGCTGATCCTGGTGGATGATGCAGCCTCTCATCTAAGGAATGAGAGGCACCGAGACATCAGCACCAAGCCCACCACATGGGCAAAAACCAACAAATCAAACCCCCAAAGACCAAAACCCGGCGACCAACCCAAATCTACCCACTGGTAGCTGGACGAGGCCCACACAACCACATCTAGGGAGCAGAAAACCCAAGCAGAGAGAGCCATCCATTACCAGAGTAACCTCCCGAGGACTTGATGTACATCTGCCCGTACTGCTCCTCCACCATGGTGTCGTAGGCCTCGTCGTCCTCCTCGTCCTCCTCGTTGTGGTAGGAGGTGGGGCTGTCGGTGGTGGGGATGCTGCTGGCGCCGGGGCTGGTGCGTTCCCCCTGCGAGTACTGCACCTGCTGCACGTTGGGCAGCAGCGTGGCCAGGTTGGGCACCCCGTAGTAGGAGACTCGGGACAGCTTCAGGGGCCCCGCGGTGGCACCGGCGCCGCCAGGCCCGTCCCGGGCACCGGGCTCCAGGGGCCGCTTGCCGGGCAGGCCGGGCAGGGCCTGCAGCTCCAGGTTCTCGTGTTTGACGCGCGTGAGGAGCGGGATGGGCATGGAGGGGGACATGACGTAGGGCGCCGAGGCCGACTGCAGCTGGTTGCAGGGGCTCTGCGGCTCCGAGCTGGGGTCTTCGATCATGGTGGTCTGAGAGTCACAGTGCGGGGAGCTGACCTTGAACATCAAGTCCGTGCCTTTCTCCACGATGTGCTGGATCTGCAGGAAGCCCGCCGTGTACATCACCACCAGCTGCTCGCTCGCCGCCATGGTCAGCTTGCCGGTGTAGCAGAAGGAGAGGATCTGCTGGAAGCAGGCCGGGGGGACGGTGCCCGGCAGCTCGAAGGCGTTTTTGCTGTTCCCACTGAACAAGTCTCGGAAGTAGAGGCTGCTGGCGGCCAGCACCGCCCGGTGAGCCTTGAAGGCTTGGCCCTTCACCACGATGGAGACATCGCAGTAGAGCCCCAGCAGGCGCTGCTCGTTCAGGCAGCCCAGAACGGTGTTCCCGAAGTTGGGAATCTCTATGTGCAACATCTGCGACATGGCTCAGGGTCGGCCGGAGCTCCTCAGACATTCAATGCAGGAATATCCAAAGTAGGGCACATCTGAAAAACGGAGAAGGCAGGGGAGAGAGGAACAAGGTTTTTAGACAGTTCACCAAAGGCAGGCAGGAGCACAGGAACCCACCTCACCCGACATCAAAGGCTCCAAGGCGAGCTCCCAGAGCCAAGGCAGAAAAGCGATCGCTTGCAAAAATCACTTATCGATGGTTTCGAGCAGCCTTGGGAATGCCACTGGTGGATGGCAAAGGATATTTCAAAAAAAAAAAAGCAAGTATTTCCTTCAAGTTGTGGTCTGTTTAAATAAGCACCACTGATTTATTCCCTCGGGGGTTTTTACTTCATGCAGGAAAATCTGAACGATAATGGGAGAGAACAGTAAAGCAAACGAAAGGCAGTCAGACAGATCTCGGTAGCATTATATAAGAAACACAACAACCAGCAGCTATGTTGAAACTACAGAAAAGATATTTATAAAACAATGTGCCATTCTGCCCGAAATAAATACAGGATTCTGCCGGAGCGAGAGCTCCCAGGAAAAAGCACTTTGAAAAGCAATCTTCCCATTTGCACCAGAAAGAGGGAGCGTTTCAACAGTTAAACCCCTTCTCAACAGATTTATCCTCCAACAAAACGAGGCTTATCTCCAAATTAAGCCAGATATTTGAGCCCCAATAAAACAAACCAACGTGCCTGCCGCAGCGAGCCGCCTACCAAGTTGTCTTCTTATTTTCCTCCCCCAGACGCCGAGCGGGGCAGGGGCAGCCCCAGCCCGGCCCCCGGTGCCGCCGGTACCGGCAGCGCGGACCCTCCGAGCCCGGCCCGGCCGCTCTCCAGGGCCAGCTGTACCTTTTGGCCATGGGCAGGATTGCTGCTCCCGGCTCCCTGGAGCAGAGCCTGGCGCTGGGAGGGCGCTGGGAGTGCGCAGAGCCCGAGCAGGTAACGCTGGTGCAGCCGAAACTCCGGCGGAGCAAATCACTGCGGATGCACCGAGCCCAGACCCCCCCGCGCTGCCTCCCCAAACAGTCCCGGAGATTCAAAATCCTGCAACACCGCTCAAAAAAACTACCTTTAACTAATACTGAAAGCGCAGAAGAACGATTTTTTTTTTTTAAATTAAAAAAAAAAAAAAATTAGAAGTTTATCTGAGAAAGATTAAAAAAAAAAAATCTCTGGAAAGAAAATAATAACCCACAAAGAGCTGCTCTGTTCCCATTGCCGAGGGGAAAAAAAAAAAAAAAAGTCCTATCTGCAAGGCCACGGGGTAACAGGAAGAAAAGGGAACACACTCGGAGCCAATTTAATTGTATCTGCATGGTTAAAAAAAAAGAAAAAAAAAAAGGAAAAAAAAAAAATTCTTCCAAGCGAGGAAGTTCGCGGTGCCTTCGCCTGGCCCGGAGCGAACACGAACGTACCTTGAGCAGCGGCCGCTGCCGAGGGGCTCCGGAGCCCCCGGTGCCCGGGGGAGGGGGAAAATAAAATATAGTATCAAGCGCTAGGTTTGTATCTGCTGGAGCTCGAGCTTTTACCAAGTCAAATCTCCCCGGCAGCGCACAGCATCTAAATGAATAGGCCGGATGCAGATTAACATTCAGGCTGCTCTCTGCAATGAATAGAGCCCTTTGATTAGGGACCTGAAGTAAATGCCAGTTTCAAACCGAAGCTTTAAAAACAGAGAAATATCAGTGCCAGAGGAATGCTCTCAGTGTTGGTACAAGACAGACTTTTGATGAGTCACTGCAATGCAAACAAAGATGGCAGAAATACTGTACTGTATGCTGATGAAATGCTTAGTGGTGCCACGGCAACTGAGACAGGTTTTAAATTTATAGTGCAGTTTTGCATATGAATTACGCTGTAAACTGCCTCCCCTGCCATCTAGTACATCCAGAGTGTCAAAGCATTTAAACTATTCCAAACAGTCTGCAGAGCTGGCACTGCTGCTGGTTAACTCCTGCGGCCAGGGGAAGGCAGGGAGCAGGGCTGGGGAGCATCCCCTGCACCCCCCCCAGCATCTTCCTGTACCCCCTGCATCCCCACAGCATCCTCCTGCATCCTGAGCATCTCCCTGCATCCCTCCAGCACCCTCCTGCATCCTGAGCATCCCCCCAGCATCCTCCTGCATCACCCCTGCATCCCCACAGCATCCTCCTGCACTACCCCCAGCATCCTCCTGCAACCCCTCATCAACCCCTGCACCCCCTCAGCATCCTCCCACCTGGCCCAGCATCCCACCCGAAGAGCACCTGCCCAAAAGCACAGTTTTGGGAATGCTCAAATCTGCCCAAAATCAAGGTGCTCCTTGGGCAGACACAGTCCTGTTTCCTGTCCCCCCTCCAAATCCCCCCCCCCCAATACAAGAAAGCCTTTCAAATGCAGGAAAAATGTTTACCCCTTGGGGAAAGCTTCTTTCAGTCTGTGGCTGAATCCACTAAAAGCAAATCCATTTGCTTAAGTAATGAAATCCCAGTCACATTGTCTCCTGGATTCAGATTTTAAATTACCTTCGCATTTATTGAGCATGTTTGGTGCTTTTTTCTGGGAAAGAGGGTGGGGCCTCCCTTTGCTTATTTCTCCCTTGCCCAGAGCGTTTTTCCCTGTGCCACTGGCCTCGGGTTTGGTTCGGTTGCTGTGCTCTGATGCTCGCACACAGTTAAAATCCCAGGGACGAGAGGTGAGGCCATGCCCAGAGCAGGATGACTGCAGGGAGCACGGGGCTGGTGATGCTCCAGGCTGACCTTCCCTCCTGATCCTGCTCACAGCTCCCCTTCCACACCCTCAGGGATGTTTGCTGCATGAGGTTCAAGCCCAGGGCAGGGAAGTGCTGCTCTCCCAAATTTGCCCCAAATCCCACAGGACCTGCAGCCCACAGAGCCTGGAGAGCCCCATGCTCCCATTCCCCGCCTTGGGAATGCTCACCACACTCATCCAAACCCCTCAGGAGGCCACTGGGGTCCCTGCCTGGTGCCCTGGTGCTGCTGAGAGGGGACCAAGGTGACATCCCACGAGGAGATCAGAGGTGACACCACAACGACCAAGCTGAGAGCCCAAAACCTCTCCCAAGCATGACAGCACCCACCTGTGCTGGAGAAAGGATGGAATCTGCCCTGCCAAACAAAGATCCACTCTGGATCTGTGCAAATTACTGAGGAAAACCCGAGTTACAGGAAAAACACCACTGCTCAGGCACCTAAGGAAGCCTCATAATTCCATGAACATGGGTAGAACAGGGGTGGAGAAGGATTTCCTCCTCTTCCCTTCCAGGAAGGGCTCCCTCAGAGCAGGAGAAGACACCAGGGAGGCCTTGGATGGACCCAGCAGGGCAGGATGTGTGGGACCAGCCAAGGACAGCTCGGTAGCACACAACAAGCCAAACTTAAAATAAATATCAGTTATTAATATTACTTAGAATTCACTCTATAAACAAACAGGCTCGTCAGGAGCAACCCCTGTCTGTCCCTAAAAGCACCAAACTGGGCTGGTTTAGGGAATGTTTTAAGCCAGAGAGAAGCAACAAAGTGCCCCAGCATCCCAAATCTTTGGCAAAACTCAGATAAAACCTCTCAGGAGATGCTGCACACATTTGGTCCCTCCCAAAATGCAGTTCCCAGGGAAATGGGGGGGAATTAACAGCTTGGTTTAGAAAGAGCATCAAGGACCACAGCAAAGCCACACAAGGAAGCTGCAGAAGCCCAAACCACCCCAATAAACCATCAGCCAGGACTGCTGGAATATTCCCTTCTTCTTCCCTCTGCCCCTTCCTTTTTATGACCAGAATACACCAAAAAAGCCTCCCAAAACCCAACCCAAAACCACCAACAACCTCAGATCATGAAGAAATAAAATAAAACAGTCTTGAAAGCCCAGGAGAACCTGCTCAGCACCAAACCTCACATTCCCCAAAAACAACAGCAACAAAAAGCTACTGTGATTAGACAGCAAACGCAATACAGCTTGATAATTTCAAACTTTAAAATTCCTCTATTAAATATGACCATTTTTCTTTTAAATAGAGCACCAGGAGACTTTTGAAGGGTTTGAAATGGCTTCAGCCCATCTGACACAGGAAGAGCTGTGCTGCAGGAGAAATGACCTTTGCAATTACAGATGTAAACTGGATTTTTCCAATCTCATCTCCCAAGCTGAGCTGTGTCCCAAGGTGCAGGAGGAGCCCCCAGCATGACCATCACCCCAAAAAATCCAGTCCCCTTTGGCCTGGAGTGTCCTACAGGTGACAGACCATCAACAGGGCATCTCCAAATGGGAAAACTTGGATAAAACTGGATTAAAACCAGACAAACATCCCCCACCTTGATCATTTTACATATGTGACCATTCAAGCAAAAACACCATTTTGTTTTCTGATGGTAGCCTCTTTCTCCAGGAGGATAATTTGTACATCTCCGCCTGATTTTTGTAAAGTCATAGCCTTTGTCACAAGATGTTCATAAAAAATGCAGCTGTTATTTGAGACAACTTCCAGGAGAGTTTGGGAATTCTCAGTTTCTGCATTCATCTGCTTTGGGGGAAAGAAAAAAAAGCAGGTTTGCTCTTTTCCAAACTAATTCCCTGCTCTGAGGCCTGAAAGGTCAGGGCGAGGCGACAGCAACAAAGGGAAAAAGCATCGACCTAGAATGAGATGCTGCCATCAGAGCTCCCCCAGGAGTAATCAGAAATAATTAGATAATGTATTTAAATTGGCCTTTTTTTTTCTCAGCCAAACAACAGAGAGACTGGGTGGAGAATCATTCCCCCAAAACCCCCCAAAAATCCCCCAAGTCCTGCAGCTCCCCAGGAAGGTGAGCTGGGACAGGGACAAAGGGACAGGGACCCTCTGGGGGTGGGAGACAAAGCAGCCAAAGGCTCCAACCCCCCCAGCCAAAGCCCCAGGAAAGAAAAGAGCTGAAAAGTCCTGCCCTTGAAGGCCCCAAAGGGTCAAAGGAAACTTCCCTTTCTTCTGTAAATGAGGAGAGAGGGGGGCAAAATCCCACCCTTGGATTTGAGGCTGGCAGGGGGTCCCCAAAGCCACCCAATCCCCCAGGCAC